GCAGGCTAGCAGTATACAGAAAAGCAACAAAAGCAATAACAGCGAGTAAAACGTGCTTACCGGGAGGAAAAACAAATTTTGTGCATGAAGAATAGCCGCCTGATCGCTGGAGGCAGGAAAACTTGTGTTGGATGTATTGGCAGCTGAAGCCACAGCTTCTTCTGGATCACTCAGGAAAAACTGCAACACAACAACGCAATGTTTCCCAGGGAATTAGTGTAAATCAGATCAATAAATTAGTCGGCAGATGCTAAATGCATTCATCTGTGTTCCTTATGCGAGGTAAGCAGGCTTGATTCTGTGGACAATCCAACCTGTCTGGCAAATGCTAGTGGCTCTCACTCTGCCTTGTGAAACTCTAGGAATTTCTATTTGGATAAGCACCATATCTGTAATGCAAATAACATGGGCCGGGCCTTCTGTGTGTGTTTGCCAACCACTCCCTCCCCCAGGGAGGTATTTTCGTCAATTATTTTTTACATGTTGCTGTAAAAGTAAGTGACTTGTTCCTGCTGAGCTATGCACTTCGTGATGAATTCTGGAACTACAAGATCGATGTTCAGTACAATGGACGTACCTCTGTTAAGTGTTAATTTACAAATGTGAAAAGCATACACTGGAGGGCTTGGTTAGGATTATGGCTGGAAGGTGACATCCCCCTGTACAAAGACACTGGACTCTCCATGGCGAAGCCAAGCCTTCAGAGTGTCCACAGCAGTATCTTCGCCATCTTTGCTCAAATACTAAACGAGTCAATGGGTTTATAGGAGCTTTTGATTTTACAAAAGGATATTAATTTGATGGGCAAAGTGCAATAAACCAGCATCAATGATTGTATCTATGATCCGCGAACTCTTGGCAGCTCAGGACCACGATGGGTTAAGAGGCTTGAAAGGAAGGACCCTCCCAGGGCTGTAGGAAAAGGGGCTGTAATAAAAAAAACAAAAAGGTCAGGCTGAGGAGGTAGAGATAATTTGCTCTTATGGGGTGGTCCCCGATAGCCACACCAGAAGGCAAGTGTCAACCTGTTAGCAAGGCGGGAGAAAGTCACTCATTCTCTCTTCCTCCCACTCGCTCTCTCTCTGTACCTCTGTCTCTCTCTGTCCCTTAATCTGTCTCTCAGTCTTTCTCTCTGTCACCCTCTCCTTGTTTCTCTCCCTCTCCGCTTCTCTGCCTCTCTCAGTCTCTCCCCGTCTCTCTCTCTCCCTCTCTGTCTCTCTTTTGACCCGTTTCTCTCTGTCTCTCTCAGTCTCTCCTTCTCTGATGCTTTCTCTGTTTCTCTCAATCTCTCTCCCCTTGTCTGTCTCTCTCCCTCTCTGTCTCTCTCAATCTCCCTCTGTCTCTCTCAGTTTCTCTGTCTCTCTCAATCTCTCCCCTTCCCTGTCTCTCTCTCCCTCTCTGTCTCTCTACCCCTGGTTCTCTCTCTCTCAACTGCCGCACACACTGTTTGAGTGTCGAATAGTTCCCCGCTCACTCATCACATGGCCAAGTGTCAGAGGAGTGTTCCAGAAAGATAAACCAGAAAATTGTGCCCCGGCCAGGTTCCCTTGACTGAAGGAGATTCCCCTCATTCATCAGTCTCGGTCGTGCTTCCTGCATAGCACTAACCATCCTTATCCAAGCTTTAAAGAGTAAAGCTTCCCTGTACAATTTCTGTGGTTGCTTCTGTTTGCTTGCACTGATTTATTTCCTTTAATGGCAGCGGTTAAGAGCTACGGCTGTTAACAAGAGGTCGGCAGTTGGAATCTACCAGCTGCTCCTTGGAAACCCTATGGGGCTGTTCTACTCTGTCCTATAGGGTCGCTATGAGTCAGCATCAGCTCGATGGCAATGGGTTTTAGTTCACACAAGTAGATAAGATAGCATTTATTTAGCATATTCTTGGGAATATTTCTCTCATATTCTAAAAATGATGTTAGATATAGTGGTTCTACCCATTACATCATTTGATAAAATTCAGCCAAATGCTGATATAAAAGAAAAGTAGCAGATTTTTAAAGTTTACCCTAAAGAATTTATCAAAAAATAACACAATCACTGGTTGGGCTATAAATGTGTTAACTCTTTGGGGAAAAAAAATATATCAAAAGAAAATGAATGGAGTAATTGCTTGGAAAACAATGGGCTCCCAAATGTTACAAAGTTAGATTTGAGGGACAGAAATTACAACTGACTTAAATATTAACGAATCACAAAACTAGAAGTAGCTTAGCTTGGTGGATTACTAGTCTTAGGCACCCTCGATCTTAAAATAACTATAAAAAAATTCTTGATTATATCACCATATAGGGAAGAAACCAAATAACTACCATGAGGCTCTAAATTGTTGCTGTCAGATGAGTAGAGATATACCCTTTGAAAGCTGTGTCTCACAAGCAGGTTATATTGGATGTGATGATTTGAACACGTGAAACAGAAAACTTCAGTGACCACACACCGCCACGCTTCCTTAACCCCCTCTGCTACCTTTTCCTAAAAAAAAAAACAAAAAACAAACCTGTTGCTGTCGTGTCGATTCCAACTTACAGGAATCCTACAGGAAAGAGTAGAACTGCCCCATAGGATTTCCAAGGAGCGGCTGTTGGATTTGAACTGCCGACCATCTGGTTAGCAGCCATGCCTCTTAGCCACTGCGCCGCCAGGGCTCTTCTACCTTTTCCTAGTATTTATTAACTTCCCATGAAATCAAGAAACTTTATTCCTTCTATCTGGAATCACATCATGATTCTGAGTCAATTTCTCCTGTACTGTCATCTTTGTTGTTGTTAGGTGCCGTCCAGTTGGTTCCCACTCATAACGACCCCCATGTACAACAGAACGAAACACTGCCTGGTCCTGCCCCATCCTCACAATCGTTGCTATGTTTGAGCCCATCATTGCAGCCACTGAGTCAATCCATCTCATCAAGGGTCTTCCTCTTTTTTGCTGACCCTCTACTTTCCCAAGCATGATGTCCTCCAGGGGCTGGTCCCTCCTCATAACATGTCCAGAGTATGTGGGACCAAGTCTCACCATCCTCGCTTCTAAGGGGCACCCTGGCTGTACTTCTTTCCAAGACAGACTTATTCCTTCTTCTGGCAGGCCATGGTATATTCAGTACTCTTCGCCAACAGCATCTTAGTCATGTTAAAATCAGAAACTCATGCCATCCCCTGATTATACCAAGTCAAATACTGAAGACAGTGTTTTATTCCTGGGTCCCTCTTCCTTCCTGGTTAAACCACCGTCACTTTCCACACAAAATGAATTTCTAGTGTCATAATTATTTGGGGAATTCTCCTCTGAATCCTTAGTTTTCTACATCTGCGGTAATAATTGGAAAAATGACAGCCTGATTCTGAACAGAATATCCTAATAAAGTGCTAATCAACACTGCCTATTTTTAACATTACTTTCAGATTTTACACTTTCCAGGTGTTATGGATTGAATGGTGTCCCCCCACAACAAGATATGTTGAAATCCTAGCCCTCAGTACCTGTGAATGTGACCTTGTTTGAAGTAGGGTCTTTGAAGATGTTACCAGTTAACATGAGGTCATACTGGAGCAGGGAGGGTCCCCATCCGAGTGGTGTCCTTATAAAACGGAAGAGACACAGAGATGGATGCAGAGGGAAGACGCCGTGTAAAGACAGGCAGAGACTGGAATGATGTTGCCACAAGCCAAGGAACACTTGGGGCCACCAGAAGCTGGAAGAGGATCCTCCCCTAGAGCCTTCAGAGAGAGCAAGGCCCTCTGATACCTGGAGTTTAGACTCTGGCCTTCAGAACTGTGAGAAAATAAATTTGTTGTTTTAAACTACCCAGTTTGTGGTACTTTGTTACAGCAGCAGTTGGAAACTAATACACTAGGTTATTTAAAATATCTCAGAATTACGTCTTTAAGATAATATTAAATTGTGAACACACACTGTAATATCGTGCTTTAAGCCTTACGACATCATTGCGTTTGTCATCTAGCGGGCTGTGGCACACTCTTTGTGTATCTGGTTTACAAAGCTCTGCTATTTATAAGAAATCTCTCGGAAGTGCCTCACAAGAGATTGCAGGATGATGGGGCGTTCGCTTGATGACACCGTCCAATGGCGGGAAAAAATGGCAGCGCTGTTGAGCTTCTCACGCGTGATCCTAATCAACAGCTGGAAACGAAAATGGAGCAGAACTCACTGATGATTTGCTGTTTGATGCCAGAAATTCTGCTTTTGAACATTTCTGGATTATCGATCATTCTTGTCCACTGTTCACTGAGGTGCCTGGTGTCCCAGGGGTGAGCATCAGGTGTTAAAAACACCTGGTACAATCTCACAATTTACTTTAAATAAAATGGACTTGGGAGTTTGGTCACTCACTGTTAGAGTAAGGGGATGAAAACTGCCAGTCCTGTGAGCCGAGCGGCCCTGGGGACCCCGCTCTCGGAGGGCTGCTGAAGGGCTCGCTCAGGATGGATCTTAGTGACTCCCCATCGGTGTGGAGCCTCCCGTGCGCGGCCGCGTGTGGCCGCCTCCACGGTCAAGGCGGAGGGGAGTCACGGGGAGCCTCCACCCTCAAGCACGATTGCTAGCCACCTGCCCATGACAGGTAATGAGGGTGCTGGCAGGTGAGGACAGAGAAGCGGCGAGGAAGGCCCACCTGCCACTCGGGGAGACCAAGGGGCAACTGCTGCGGAGGAGCTGCGGCACCAGAAAGAAAACGGAAGCGTCCTCCTTTGTCCCCGGAAAACAGGGCTGACGCGGACGTCAGGAAGTCAACGCTCTCAGAGAAATCAACTCTTCTTCCCAGTGAGTGAGGAAACACACGCCTAAACACACACACATTCACACAGACTCATTCACATACACACTCATATGCATGCACAGGTACACACGCAAACACACACAAGCACACACGTACCCATGGGTACTTGCACTCATGTACCCATACATTTACACACCCACACACTCATGCACATTCACTCATGTACACATACATTTACACACCCACACACTCATGCACATTCACTCAGGTACACATACATTTACACACCCACACTCACACTCACGCACACATACTCGTGTACACTCACGTACATATACATTTACACACCCACATACACAGTCACACTTGTACACACACCCTCATATACATGCGCTCACTCATGTACACACAACACATGTACATACTCATACACATGCACAACACACTC